GGCCGATATCGGACAGATGGTCCATCAGGGCGGCGGGGATCTAAAAATCCTATGCCGAGAATTTAAGTGTGGGGGGGAAACGGGAGTACCCCGAGAAAACCCACTTTCACTGGTAACGACCAATTCGTTACCAGTGCCCGGCTAGCGAGAAGAAGTAAGTGGGGAAGGCAAAGTGAAGTCCGGTGATGGGGGCTAATTAGCTTCTGAATGATTTGTGGAGTCTCCTGATGTTCGCCATGGTTTTATCATGGGACTGGTTCCGGTTCCAGGCAGGTGGTAAAGGCGTGGAGTCCTCGGTGTCGTTGGTGAGTGGGCGGAAGGCACAGAAAGGTTCGTCAGGTAGGTAGAGATCGGGGGAGGTGTCAATTACTAGGGCGTTCAGTGAGTTGGACGCCGATGGTGTAGAAAGTGGCTTGGGGCTGGGAGGCGGGTTGTTGGTTTGTTGATAGGCGTCGTTGGTAACAGTGATGACTTGTGGCTGGGTGCCTTTTTTTCTCCTAGTAGTGGTGATTTGGGTTGACATGTCTTGTGATTCAGGAGTGGGTGAGGTTTGAGTGGCTTGGTCTATTGTAATAGGATGGGCGGTAGAATACTGGTTGGCGGTGGATTTCTTTTGGGTGTTGAGAAACGTGGGCTTGGGGGTAGGTTAGGAAAGGTATGGGGTGGGTGAGGTTTATGGTAAGATTTTTCTGCCTTAAAGTGATGATAATCAAGGCAGCAGCCGTGGTGAGGATGAAATCTGCTGTATTTTTTGAAGTTGTGACAACTTTCATGAACGTGGAGGGTGAACCTGTTTTCTTTGACTGGATACGGTGGACTGCGTGGATCATAGAGTTGGTTGTAAATTCAAGTCCTTGATGAATTTCCTCTGGCGTTAACGATAAACGAACGTTCCTGAGAAATACTGTGTGGAGACTGGCATTGCTTTTGGGGGGTTGGCAAGTGACGGGAGGGTTTGAAGACCAAGGGGGCGAAGGTAGCGGAAGTCTTCGAGTGACTTGGGTTGGAGGAGTATACTTCCCATTCACAGACGTCGGGTGCGTTCAGGGAATACTCGGGCTTGAGGCTTGTAGTGGCGGATGAAGTTAGCTGTGTCCCGCGGCGAGAAGGCGAGTGGTAATCGGTCGATGATTAACGGCGGCTTAGGGTATGAGACAGACTGCATACTGGCACGTAACATGGTCGATAGCTAGCGAGCTGACTAAAAGTACTAAACTGTGGCCTCTCTCTCTGATCTCTCGTGACTCTTTGGCCTCTGGTCAGGACTGAGTGCATGGGTTAAGCTAGGGTTCCCGATTTTATACTACTGGCCAGAGGGAAAGCAATCAGTCTGCACCACCCAAGCCTCCACAAGGGTTTTGTCTTCTTCGGGTTTGAAACGAATAACGGATTGATTGTCATTCCTATAGCATACCCAAATGAAAGTACAAGATGTGCTAAGAAGCAGCATGGAGCAAACCATAGATCTTTTAATTCGCAGCCCCCTTTTAGTGGTTACATATTAGTATTATCTGCCCACAATATTTTAACATTACACGCTTGATCAACTGCATTACCTATATTACTTTAATTATATGCTAAACATGGCATAAAACGTCACAGATTGAAAAGCAATAGCAACATTTTTTCATTTGATCAGGGTTGTTATAGCAACAAATTTTTATGTTTTATTTTCATTATTGTAACATTTATTTGTTGTTCTGTATTAGCATAGTAAGTTATATATATATGTGTGTGTTCAGTTCTACATTAATAGTAACAATACTTTCTATTTGTTCTGTTTCGTTATTGTAATATATATATATTAGTCTGTGTTGTTATAAAAGTAGTACTTTTCGGTTAATCTGTGTTAATACGGTATTATTGGTTCGGTATATTTTCTTTCAACAGCAACATTTGTTGTTGTTGATTTTTTGTTCATGTTGCTATGCTAACATTTCTTATTGGTTATTATTCGTATTTGTTGTTAACGTTGTAAAACATTGTTTTCGAATCTTTTGTTCAAGTTTCTAGCCCGATTCAAAGCTTACGTACTTTGTTCACATTTGTCGTCAGTTTATGACAATTTGAATACAATATTTTAAGAATATGGTAGGATGTTTCACACCAGCATATCGGCGTTTTTTGATTTACTTGATAATAAATAAATTAATTAATCGAAAGTTCCATCGCTATCAACTTGAGGTCGGCTATTAAACCACTTAGATATTATACGTTTTATCTCGCAGTAAATGGCAGTTTGAACAAATGGTATCGGTTTTATTGGTTGGATATTCATAAATTGCTAAAAGGCTTCTGAATTATCGGGCTTTTCAGTCTGGTATTTCAAGGAATACGTTACCACACGGAGCGTTCATATTAACTCCCCAGATCATAGTTCGTTTCGGTATTGTTTGTTTGTTTTGAATTTCGCGCAAAGCTACACGAGGGCTATCTGCGCTAGCCGTCCCTAATTTAGCAGTGTAAGACTAGAGGGAAGTCATCACCACCCACCACCAACTCTTGGGCTACTATTTTACCAACGAATAGTGGGATTGACCGTCACATTATAACGCCCCCACGGCTGAAAGGGCAAGCATGTTTGGGTGGAACAATTCGAACCACGACCCTCAGATTGCGAGTCGAGCTCCCTAACCACTTGGCCACTTCGGTATTGTTAAAAGCATGTATCCTAGATGTCGTAGACTTTTCTATTAATATTTCTTAGCACATCATTTCCAAATATAGAACGTATTTTTCAATGAAAAATTCAACTGTAATACATTAGTCGTTGATTAAGAACCTGAAAACGGATAATACAGAAGTAAGTTAATAATACATTTGTGTCTGCTTCAAGCGTAGTACTTTTGCGGTTTACAACAACAACATTTTATAATTAATAAACCAATTGGTTTTTTCAAAATTTATCCGACTCTCAGCGTTTGCATCGTAACTTTTAATAACTAATTGCAGCTAAGTGATCAATTTACCATTGGTGAAATAAATTATTACAGAATGTATATAAAAAAAAGCGTGCAAATTGTACAATTCACTAGTAGGTGAATTGTATTTACTTTAAATAGAGTAGCACACCTTGGTACCACGCTAACATAAGTTTATATGTGTAGTATTGTAAAATCTAACCTACGTAAAAGCCAGTGTGTGTTACGTCACGTCACGCTTGATATCTCGAAAAGGGAGGAGTCATAAAAGCTAAAATGCATTTATACAGATAGAATAGTTTGATTACTATCTACCACTACGGTTTTAATTAAAGATTCATGATTCGGGATCCATAACTGATAAAACACATTCCACACTTTGAGGCCGTGCGATGTTAGAATGCGAATAAAATCGTATAAATAAATTAGAGAAGAGTTGGCAGTGGAGGATATTGACTATATGCCATCCATTTCTAGTCTCTCAATTTAAAATTAGGTACTACTATGCACAGATAGCCTTTGCATAAATTTGAGCTATCAAACAAAAAAACCTGACGTGAGCTAACCCTAATTTATAGCTCTGGATTTCGGAGCTGACGAGATGGGTTCGAAACAGTGCCATACCACAAAATATTCCCCACTCTTTTAAACGGCGGAATATAGTCTTACCTTAGTATCTTTGTCTTGAATAAAATTAAACAAACAACTACTGAAACGGTGAAGTGACATAATAGAACTACTATCTTTTATGTCAGGTTTTGTCCATGAGAAATTACATTTAATGTTATGGATTAGAACTTCATATCTGTAATTATTTCTAATTACTTGTACAAGCATCGCCTGTACAAATTACTCCTCAGGCAAGGTTGATGCTCTGGGCTGTTAGTGAAATTATATGTTAATTTCACTATTTCTGTTTCATAACGAGGAATATAATTCAATTACAATTATATTGTGTTGTAATGTATTTACACGTACGTGGACCAAATTCACTTTGAGTTTGTATTATCGCAAACGTGATTAATTTTGTCCGGAACTACGAAATTCCGCTTCGTACAAATAATGAAAACAACATAAATAGGTGTTCATCACA